CCGGACCCGAGCGACGACTAGCCCTAGCACCAACGTACCACCTGGACATTGCCAAAAATCCTGTGGGACCTCAGCACATGCCATTCGTACCGGATGCGACCTGTTCATGCGCCATTCACGCCATTGTTCAGTAGAGACTGCCTACCTCATCGTAATCCGAGCCGGGCCTTTTCACGAGCGGTCGTCGAATTGAGCGTTGTCAGAGGCGTGGACGACATCCGGAACGTGAAGGCCTGAAGGTGCAAGTTAAGTCCGTGAATGTAAAACGCCGCTATGTCCGAGGTAGTAAAATGCGGCTCGCGAACACCACCTCTACTCTTGGCAAACACATACTCGGATACTGAAAACTTTGGGAAACGACGCTCGGAATCCCTGGCTTATAGCAGAAACCAAATCATATCAAACACAGAGCGCTTGACAATACGCTTGCCAGCTAGCAAAACGCTTCGTCGCAAGGACGACGAGGGGAATGGATTCGGACGCACGCGTACCCGGATGTAGGCCCAGTAGCGATCGATTCGCAACAGCGGCGATAATGGCCGAGGAAAGGCCATTGGCCGAGGAAAGCCTAATGAAAGCGTTAGGACGCTTTCATTGGGCGATGGAATATGCATTGTGGCGTACAGGACGTAGGCGCGCGTTTGTTTAAAAACGGCGTTGAGTGGGAAAGGCTAGTCACTACCCGTTCACGTTCCACCAGTCTCAAAATGTTGGAAACTTAGGGACCTTGACATGTGAGTCCGATGCAAAAACATGGCGAAGTTTGTGAAATGCAACGGGGAGTAGGCCATGATAGGGTTAGCGAAATTTATAAGGGCAGAGATGGCGGAAATTGACAAACGACCTTCCGAAGGACCTTTCTGATAACGGGCCGTGAAAACGGGCCGTGATAACGGCAAGTAGTGAGCCATTTTGTCAAGTGCAATCTTTGGGAAAAATTCGATTTTTGGAAAATTCGGGAAAGACAGAATCTGCAGCCAAATTACCGAAACCAAAAATGCATCGAATTTCCGAAGATGAGCCGAGTTTTATTACCATACCTCGCATCTAGTCCATACATTAGCGCAGAGGATCGAAATCGAGTACTGGACGGGCACAATTGATCTGCCCTGCTCCGTGCCCTCCACAGCAGGGAGAACCAGCTGTGATGCCAACACTAGAATGAGCCTACGTATGACGCGATAAGTGCGTACATGCATTCACCACTGACGTGAGAAATCAAGCCTACGCTAGGCCGAGCTACCTAGCTAGTATCCAGGATACCGAGCAGACGAGGTACCAAAGGTGCACTAACGCGCACAAAGGGTATGCTTATTCGGGCATAGTAAGACTTAGACAATTTAGACATTCTACAGCACTTAAGCTTATGGAGTGGTTGAGAGTGCGTTCTTCTTTTGAGTTCAGCAAGCGTACGCATCTCACAAAATGCAGGTGCATAGTCTCAGAACTTTTAGTTCTGAATGGATCTAACTGAATTACTAGCTACTACTGTCCTTCCGACGGTGGCCCTAATGCATGGATGGCGTGAGCCGAAAACAAACGTACCAGAATCAAACAAGTGATGCTTACCATTTTGTTTAGCGGCGTTGCGCAGCCCATTGGCCCAGTGCGCACTAAATGAAGTACGTCGTCGATTTGTTTTTAGGACAACTAGTAGGAGCTAGGAGCTAGTCGAGGCAGAAGTTAGCATAAATATAGTGGAGCTGGTCAGTGCAAGTACTTTGGGGGACTTAGTGGTAGCGGGAGGTACGGACTTTCCTTTGAAGATTTTCTGCATAATTGGGCGCCGGGAAAGAGCAATTAACACAAAACAACCACTTCTGACAAAGAAATCCCAAGCTTGTAATGCATAAGTGCGATTTTAATAAGTTTTTAAGCTCCTCTGCGGCAGCCTCACCCGAGTGGGTGTTAGGACGACCTCATGCTTTGTGTAGTATAGCATATGTTACAGAGGATAACGGCATAAACGTCATTGCTGCGACGTTTGCGTGTTACCTACGAAAACACCAGCGTGCATGGAACCGTTTACCAGAAGGGGAGAAGCGGGTCGTACCGATGGGAATATGAGCGATACGTCCGGTGACTAAAAAGAGGAGCAAGACCAATGCACGACAGACCAGAAAGGAGGCAGTCAGGAAATAGAATGGAGGGACGGACCGAGGGGTGAACGGATGTAAACACGCTTCGCCGACGCTCGGGAAACCAAAACTTATAGGCATAGATGGGTGGTACTCATAGGAGACGCCACCATAAAGGTCGCATGCGGTCAGTCCTCACTTCTCAGTCCGGTTTTTCACGAGACACGATAACTATGTAGGCAAGAGCAGGGCATCGGGAGGAACGCGATAGCTATGTGAACAAGAGCGGGTTATCGGGCCGAATAAGCGACCAGGACTGGGCATTATTTTCATTAGTACTAGGCCCAGGATCGAGACCCCAGGACCAGGATCAAGAGTCGCCTCATTCTTTCTCCATACTACGCTGGCAAAAATCCCCGGCTTTTTACTCCTAGGCTCCCAGAAATGCGGAGATACGGTGAGGGCAGAAGTGCATCGACGATTCGAAGAAATGCTGTCGTAAAACGCTAGGAAACGCGTAAAACATTACGGTCCCGGACTACGTTTCGCGGCGCTTCTTTTTTCCGATGGCCAAGACCAGAACCGTAACCAGACTATACAGGACTACGGGACCAGGACCTGCCCAGCACTGAAGCGGACACAACAGCTTCTAGTGATCTCTCGAATTTCGGCTTCCGGACCTCCACATTCATCGTTTCTTGGGGCTCTTCAGCAAGACCTACAGACCTTTTTTAAATACCGTATTTCCTCAAATAATTTCCATGGGAATTATTTTTCATTGCCCGATTTTGAAAAATATTTAAATTTTTAACTTTAAAGAAAGTGTGTTTCACATTCATAAGACTATTCCTTGACCTGGACATTCTTGTTTTATCGGCTTCTATCGAATCCAAGCCTCGATTTTGACAACCGCGTACTCTGAAGGGCTATAGAAAATTAGTGAAAGGGGGAATTCTTCGAGGAAATAGCGCATTAAAAATTCCCCTTCATCCCCCGTTTGGTACTTTTTCTACAAGTCAGAATTCTGCCTTTTTAAGCAGTTTAACGTGTTAATTTAGCGGATATCAGTCTACAATAGCCCGCCGAAGGGGGCGCCAGAGCAATTTTTGCGGTTGTGAGGCACAATTTCATCAAAAAAATGGCCAATGGCCAATGGCAAACCAGCCCCGGGCCGGGCCGGCTCGACATCGGGCCAGCCGATTCCTAACTCTTTACCTGAAATAAAACCTTTAGGGTGTTAAGAGAAAACATTAAAGCCCTACGAGAATCGAACTTCATAGCATTGACTCCGGTGTCCCCCTGCTGCGGCAGTCCCACCCGAAGGCGTCTTAAGAAGGTCTCATGCCAAAAAAGGCATGTCGGCGGTCAGCACATATTACAATGCCGCAACCATTGCCAACTCACGGCGGAACGATCTCCCACAGGCACCTAAAGAGTAGAAAAGAGAAAAAGTTTTAGGAAAGCTACTTTTCCAATGGCTGATATACGTTCGAATAGGGCTGTTGCCGACCTCCACCTTAGTGCAAGCTTAGGCCTAGGGTCTTAGGACTAGACTTCGAAAGAGTAGACTTTAAGAAACCTAAAACTTGGGATACGCTGGATGAATGCTTATGTTTAAGGAACTTAGGGCTATCCTCTCTTTTTGTTTGGGTTTGGGCATTCCCAAAAGTGTTAGGTCTACAACATGGCGGCGGAAAGCTTAGGCTTAAGTGTGCTCCGGACCGTACTGCCCCCATCCGGTCCGTACAGTCTCGGAGCTTCCGTAGCATTCTCAGCCGAGCTGGCTTCCGTGCCCGAGGAGGAAGCGAAGGAGCACAACCCGGGAAAGCTTCTCCTTGAAGCGATCGTCGAAGTCCGAGTCGTTAGGAGCTGAAATTTTAAGCATCGAAGCTTAAACATTTCCACTTGAACAATGGGTCCCTTAAACCCGGAAAATCTGGGCTAGCCAAAGCGCTACAACTTCGTCGAACTACAAAAAGTGTTAATTAGTGGCCAGTGCAATGGCATTGCATAGCCCAGCAGAGGTCGCAAAATATGCCCAAAATGTACTCATTCATGGGAATATTATATGAGAGCTATGAAGAGGAATAGTTGATTTCACGGGCAAGGACTGAAAGCTCCTCTGCGGCAGCCTCACCCGAAGGGGTGTTTGGAAGATCTCATGCTTGGTTAGCATGCCGCCGGTCGGCATATGTTACAGAGGCCGCAGCATTGCCGACGCACAGCGAAACGATCGACCTCAGGCACATACGGAGCGAATTTACGGCCGTCTAGAGCCCAAATTATGCGCCTTGTCCCGGACTATGACGAGTACCAGCATAAAAAGACACTGGAAGATAGGAGGTGTTTGGAGCCAGGCGAGAAGCAGGGCCTATGCACGAGGCCTCGGAGGGGTGGCAGGGCCAGGAGAATAAGAGTAGGTAGCCGGGGAAGAACCGTGAGGTGGGTGACTGAGAGCCGCTTGGACACCTCCGACGCTTGAGCCACCACAAACACACATAAAGGCGAAGGCCGCCCGATCAAAGAAGTAGTCTCCATAAAGGTCGTTTCAAGTTAGGCCCAGGTCTGAAGCTTACCCACCTACCTGAACTAGGTAGCTAAGACAATGACAGGGGGGCAGTGTGCGGAAGCATGGCGTTTTTTTCCTGCAATTTCCACCCGAAATTTCGGAACCCTGTCCCTCCCATATACGTCATTATTGGGGCCTACACCGTTATGCCATTAAACGGTACGGGAGGTAAGCGAGGGCTAGAACGGTACGGTCAACGGTACGGGAGGTACGCGGAGGGCTAGAATGGTACGGGTGAACGGAAAGGGGAGGGCAAGAACGGTACGGTGACCGGTACGGGGCAGAAAGGTACGGGGAGGGGTACAACGGTAGGGTGAACGGAACGGGGAGGGCAAGAACTTTACTTTGGATACTTTGGAGCTCCGTATTCAATCGATCCTCCTGGCGCGGCTGGCACGTTCGGTGAATCGATGCGGAGACGGCGTAGCCGTACACTGGAGTCGGTACTGGGTTCGATCTTGCGCCACGTCCATCCAGTTTGGTCCGACCTTCTTGACGATGTAGTCGTCCCATCTCGTCGGTTTGCCCCATCCGGCAGGTGCTTTCTTTCTCGGCTGCCTTTCGTTGCTCGAACTGTCCACCGGTCATCTCCTCTTCTGGCCACGTGTCCTGCCCAGGATAGTTTCCGCTTTGTGGCTTCTTTGACTGCGTCTGCGAACTGCGTCTCGCGGCGTATTCCTTCATGTCGTCGGCATTCCCACATCGAAACTCCGAGGACGCGTCGCTTCATGGCGTGCTGAGTGCTGCGAAGCCTTTTCGCGAGTGATTCTGAGAGTGTCCACGTTTCGCATCCGTAGAGAAGGGCAGGTAGGACAGTGGAGTTGAACAGCTGCGCACGTCTGATGGGATCCGTCAGCTTCTTCAGTACCTCGCTGATGCTGTTGAAACTGCACCATGCTGCTTTAATCCTCCGACTAAGTTCGCAGTGCAGGCCTTTTTGGTGGTCTTCTGACAGTTCTTGGCCGAGGTAGACGTACTTTTGAACCCGTTCGATTTCCTCGTTACCGAGGTGGATGCGCTCGTTGGTCTTGAAGTATTCCATCCACTTTGTCTTCGAGCGGTTGATGCGTAGTCCCACTGCTTCGCTGGCGCGGTTGAGCTCTTGTAACCGGCGTTGCACGTCAGCTTTTGATGTGCCGATCAGTACGATGTCGTCGGCGAATCGTAAGTGTGTTAGGTGCCGACCTTCGATGGTAATCCCGCAGTTCTTCCGGGCTTCCCAGTCGAGCTGTTTGAAGATTTCTTCCAGCGCCGCGGTAAACAGCTTGGGTGAGATGGTGTCTCCTTGACGCACTCCACGGTGTACGGGAATCGTGATGCCATCGTCGAACAGCTTGATCTCGGTGGTGCAGCCATCGTAGACGTCCTCTAGCATGTCTATGTAGCAGCGCTCGACGCCTTGTCGTTCCAGGGCGTTTAGGACGGCGTTGATCTCGATTGAATCGAAGGCCTTCTCATAATCAATGAAGATTAGGTAGAGCCGCAGTCCCTTCTCGCGCGTCCGTTCCTGGATCTGGTTTATCGTTTGCAGGTGGTCCATCGTGGAGAAGCCGCTTCTGAAGCCGGCTTGTTCGACTGGCTGGGCTGCGTCGAGTTTTGCAGATATTCTGTTGAGCACGACCTTTGTGAAGAGCTTGTACATCACCGGCAGTAGGCAGATCGGTCGGTAGTTCTTCAGATCTTCTGGGTCCCCCTTCTTGTATAGGAGCACCGTTCGCGATTCCTTCCATTTGAGCGGGATCTTCCGATGCCGCATGCAGTGCGTGAATAGTTTGCTGATGCGTTTCCAGAGTTCCGGTCCACCTGCCTTGAGCATCTCTGCCGTGACGCCATCTGGACCCGGGGCCTTGCCGTTCTTGAAGGTCTTCAGTGCGTCCTGGATCTCGAGCCAGCTGATAGGCGCAGGTGTTGCTGGGTGTTCTTCCGGGCTGCCTTCGGTCCTCGCCACTTCTACCTTGCTGTCGAATAGCGACGTGTAGAATGCACGGCAGACGTCTTCGACCGCTGGGCGTTCCGTCTGAAGGGCGCCGTTTTCGTCAAGGAGGGCGCCGGTGACGAGCTGGGACTGAGCTAGCCCTCGCTTGCATTTCTTTACGCTCTGCCTAGCGACTGCTGCTTCTACGAGGCGCTTGTTTCGATGTTCCTCGTAGTCGGCCTTGAGCTTCTTTCTGATCTCTCGGCTCAGCTCGCGGCATTCGTCTGGCCTTCCACCGCTCTGTTTCAACGACTGCAGCTTGGCAAGAAGAGCACGGGTTTCAGGTTTTATCTTCGACTCATTGGCCTTGCGTCGCTTGACCTCCGCTGTCTTTACGCATCGCATCAGCGTCTTTTCAAGCTGTTCGTAGCGCTCGTTGAGGCGTGAGTCTCCGCTGTCGTTCCAGTTCGCCGATCGCACTTCTGCTCGGAGTTTCGCCGGGTCTATCTCTGCCGGCACTTTCTTCTTGCCCAGGAGCGCCCGTTTTCGCTTCATGCCTGGCAAGTCGAGTAGCAGCGTCGCGCGAACGATCTTGTGGTCGCTTCTGGCCATGAACCTCGCGAGGACTTCGAAGTTTTGGACGCACGACCTGTCGTCGCACAGGACGTAGTCGATTTCTGAGCGCGTCGTGCCGTCCGCGGACTGCCAAGTCCACCGTTTTCGCCGTGGCTTCTCGAAGAAGGTGTTCATCACGTACATCTTCTTGCTTTCCGTGAAGGCAGTCATCCGGTGACCGGCCGAATTTCTCTGTTCTGCGCTGAACTGGCCAATGAAGCCTTCTCCGGGCTGTCCGCGGCCCGTGCGGGCATTGAAATTGCCCATGACGATGGTGCGGCAGGCTGGTTCTGCGAGTTTCAGGTCCAGTTCGGCGTAGAAGTCTTCGTGCGCGTCCTCCGAGTAGCCGCTGTGAGGGGCGTAGACTTGGATGATCTTCACAGGTAGACGCTGACCGGGGGCCTTTAGCTTCAGACGCCGATTCGGCTGGACTTGAGCTCGATGGACAGGATGCTGCTCGTCAGGCTCTTATGGATGATGAAGCCGATACCGCCGATTGTACTGTCATTTTGGCTGATGGTGCACGGTCCGACGTGGATTTCGGCTCCTCGCAACTTGCCGTCTGTCCACCGCATACGTTGCGCCTTCTTCGTGTGCGTCTCGGAGAGGCCGACCACATCGAACCTGATCTGCCCCAGCGCGTCCATGATTTCGTTGGTCCGGTGTCCGTTTGAGTTGAATTGATCGGTCCCGCCAGCTCCGCTTTGCCCAAGGTTGAACGAAGCGAAGCGTAGCTTAGTTGCGCGACACCGTTGAAGCATCTTTTGTTCTTCAGGTCCGGTGGCGTCGTACGCCGCGTTGTCGCGCCGCCGCGGTTTCGAATCGCTCCTAGACCCTCGTCCAGTGTTGTTACCCGAGAGTTCGGCCCTCTTCCGGAGGCTAGGTAGGCCCGGCGGAGAGGTGGAGTATTAGTCCGTGGTCCTTGGACGGCTTGCCGAAGGTCGTCTGCACCGGAGGTTTTAGCGCTGGTTGTGGAGGAACGGTATCCGCAGTCGATTCCGGATCGTCTGCGGCCTTCGCGCTTCGGTAGCTTCCCTGGGCAGGACATGGGGGCCTCATCCGCCCGACCTTCAGCAGGGATCGCCTGCGTGTACGGCCGGGTACCCGGCATTATTGGTCACGTTACCAAGCCCATCCAGTTAGGCTCTGACGATGTTCAGTTTGTCGGGCTGTTCCGTTCACGCGCAGCCGTCATCCTTATCCAGCGGCACCCGCATCGACGATGTTTGTCGTTGCTTCTTGGAGGAATCGTCGTCGCCGCCGGGCAAGAACGGTACGGTGAACCGTACGGGGCAGAAAGGTACGGGGAGGGGTAGAACGGTAGGGTGAACGGAACAGGGAGGGAAGAACGGTACGGTGAACGGTACGGGTAGGGGTAGAACGGTACTGAAGGGAGCGGGTACGGTAAACTGTACGGGGAGGGGTAGGACGATACAGTGAACGGTACTGGGTAGAACGGTTCGAAAGTGAAACACAGTCGTAAGAACGAGCCACGCAACCGCTTTGACGGGGCACATAGCGTTTTCCGCGTCCGCCCCGGCGGAATACGGCTCTAGTCGGGCGGCTTATTATCCACGCTCTCAATGGTCCGTGGTCCCAGTAGGGGTCGCGGGAAGTGCGGGCAAGCCAGAAATTACGGAAAATATCTACCACGGGCTGCTTTACGATCCCTAATTACGGGCACGCTGACGATTTTTGTAAGCGTCACGCCACGCGTAGTCGTGGGACGTTACTAAAAAGGGCCTATCATCACGAGAGGTGAACACTCCGCAAGGTTCTCGATTATTTAACTCCAATAATTGCGCACTGCGCGCGTTTTAACACTAGCCAAAGATGCTCGGAATCGGAAACTCACAGCGAAACTGAGCCGTCTTTTACACTTAGAGAGCTAGGCAATACGCTTGCAAGCCAGCGAAACCAGTGGCCGTACCGAGGATCCGATCCGAGGACCAGGGCCAAGAGGTTAGGGTGGGCCAAGATTTTGATCGCCAAAAATCTCCCTTGCCCCCCCCCCTTACCTGTTATTTTGCGGCGACCTTCGGCCGCCGAGACCGTTAGGGTCCCCCTTCCTAATTTTGGGTCTCTCCGGAATTAGGAGGGCATGCCCCTCCACCCCTGCCACAGGGTGAATACGCCACTGAGCTAAACGCTTGGTCGCAACGACGCACGAGGGAAAGACGCATTGTCTATGGCGATGCCTGCCGGAGCGCGATCGCTTGATCGATCGGACGTAGCGTCGCTAACGGACTGGATGGAGAACGCGTTGGAAAGCTTCCGGAACGAGGAATGCGCAAGATTCAAAGAGGACAGCAAGCGCGCGTCCGTTGAAAGATCGACGCCAGTGGCCAACAGTTTGTGACCAAATGCGAGAACAAATACGGCGGCTAAGGCGGCGTCCAGCAACTATGAAACTGTGTGTTGCTCACTTGGGTAGGGGCAGGCGTTAGTCAACAAGACTGGCGGCGGCCAGACAGTTGCATGCAGCGCTGCGGACAAAGCGGCGCGACGACCATGTGTCTGAGTCCACGGAGAACTCATGCGTCGCTTCGTGTACGCTTAGCAGAATGCGGGACAAGCGATCAAGCCGTGTCGCAGATAAGCGAAGAATTAAGGATGCGCCGCCCGGCGATTCCTTCCAGCTCACGGACACGGGTAACCAGGAGATGCTCGGGCCTATTGCTAGTGTTTTCTCCGCTCATTGTAATATAGGATTAGCTATTTATCTAGTTAGGTCAGGTTAGCGAAGCTCAAAGTAATTGCTTAAGCTTGACGAAGGCGAACCCCACTTAAAATGCGCCATCCCATGCATCCGCACGTGAAGAAGTGGACAGAATGTGGGATACGGTGAACTTTTTCCTGAAATCCTCGCCTAAAATACAGCATTATGCCGAAAAATACACTTGAAAAGTGCTCTGTTTTTCTATTTGGCTGAATGCAAAACCGAGGTCTTTTCGAGCGTCCACACACGGCGTACTTTTATAGAGATTTACCGCAATTGTTTTGCACAACCGCTAGGCACCTGCGTCGTGAATCCCGACGAACCAGCGACAATTAAACTATTTTGAGCCTGATGGTGAGGGAAAAACAACGACGGCGCTCTAGCGACGCGCGCATCTGCAATGGCGTTCTTTAACCTCTCTAAGGTCGAATGCGCGGCTTGGTCACTTCCGCCGGCCCGCAAGCAGCCAGCGCGTGAAGGACCCTCAAGCCGAAAAGAGAACACATGAAGGATGAGTACGCTGGCGCTCGGATGCTTGGGTGTCGGCCGCTATAGAGAGGCAGAAAAGAGAGAAGTTTCATTGGGCTTTGCTGGCGAAAGAGTGTCGCGAGTCATCGCAGACACCAGAAACCCGCTCACTAGCGAGGGACGCCAGAAAACCAGGAGAACCTATAGAGACCTTGCATCGGCAACGTCGGCAACAACAGGTCCGCATTCGACCCTTCCTGCCAACATCCGAGCGACTCGGGCGGGAAGCGGGCGCCCGCGACCGTAGAGTTAGCGTCGCCAGCATTAAATGAAAATTGCAATAGTGCAGCTCTTTCCGGCGTGGATAGAACGAGTCTCACAACGAAAAAACCTGTATATAGTTACACGGCTTCCACGACGGGCGCCGCTAAGCGTGGCAAGGCTGTATTCGCTATACTCATAAAGTCTTCGATTAGCATCCCATTCGCTCTAAATCAATACGTTCTGATTTCAACTTAACTTAAATTTCATTCATAAAATTCACATGCAACGGACCGAAACGCCGATTGCGGCCCCGCTTATTTCGCCTCAGATCGATCAGTATGTGTGCTGATTTATTCCGTGCCGGCTCAGGTCTGCTCGGACCGGCAGTTCTCTTCCGGTACGGGCTGTAGCAAAAATTCAAACTAAATGGCCTAATTTGACCGAACCTGAATAGGTCGGACAAAGCGTGTCGGGCGCCAGAACGGACGCAAAGCCAGGTAGGTGCAATCGGACGGTACGTCAAGCCGATAAGGAGGGCAGTCGGAGCAGGACCTGAGTTCGTTAAGGCCCAAAAGGCGCTCGGAGTAGAAGGCAAAGGATCTATGTAGGTAACTGGGGTGGAGGAACTAAGTCGCTAATTTTTCTAGGGGGCGGACCTAAACTCGCTAATTAGTGTTAAGTAGACTAACCACAAAAGCACTTACAACGATCAAAACTGGCTTGGGAAAACCACCTGGAATTCAGCGCCATGCATCTCAATGCGGAACCACGACCACTTGGGTCGTTGCGGTTCATGACCGCATAGGTCAAAACAGTCTGGGATCACACACGTCTAAGCGGTCCTAGACTATGCAGGTTAACGCGGTCCAGGACTACGCATCCCGATGCAGCCCATTGACCACGAATGCCAATGCGGTACAGGATCACGCAGGTTAATGCGGGCCGGGAAACCACGCATGCGACTTCGGTCCAGGACAACTCACACCTATTCGGTTCATGACCACGCATGACCATGCAGTCCAGGTACGCGCGATTCGGGAGACCGCATTCCATTGCGGTCAAGGACCGCGCAGCACGCAGCTTAATGCGTCCGGGCAAAGACAGAGCAAGGTAATGGACCTCGACTTTTCTTTTGGAGAGGCTGGAGATGGACCGCATAGTACTACGCCGAAGCCACGCGCAGTACAATTGATCATGTTGTTGAGGATTACGGTTCCAATGAGTTAGACCGCATTGTTCGCGAAATTTGCTTCAGATACGCTACGTAGGTCGATCTAAATTCAAGTCCAGTTAGTCGAATCAACAAGCCATACATGAGCCGTCCGCCAGATCTTCATGCGAGCTCTTCTTGTCAAGTGCGGCTCGTTGAAGCTCTCGCTCCTTGCGTTGCAGGTGGTTGACAAGAACCATTGCGGGTTCGCCTGTCGTTGCGGATCTGGATAAAATGATGTATTACCCCTGCTGTTTGTATACTGCATTCTTCATATCAGTGAAGAATGTGACGCACGCCTTATGCTTAGGCCTGTAGCGATGATTGATTTGATCTAAGAAACAGTTTAGTTTATGATGGCTTACAAGTCTGAGGCCTAACCTAGATATCATGATGTTTACACTTAAGGACTGGGATCCTTAACGGCTATAGGTAGATATCTGCGGCCTTAGGATAATTTATGAATATATTATGTTTCAGAACCTTGGGACTAAACACTTGATCGTTCTGCGTTTTGTAGAAAACTTGGAGTCTAGATTATAGCGGCGGAAGGCTAAGGCTTAGGCCTACGAGCTTAAGCTTCGGTGGGTCTAGTAATTGAGCCTAACAAGCACGTGTAATTGTGATATAATGATCTTGCGTTTCTCACCGAACGTGGAACGCTCGGAAGCGCCATAAGAGCGCAAAACAGCGGATGGTCGGACACGAAAGGAATCAAAGTTGTGCAAGCCTTGAATAAATGATCCAACGTTTTCGTTTAACGACTTCTCACAGCCAGTAAAACGCACAAAATGTACCAAAAACGAAATGATGTCATAGCTAAAATACGCGATAACTATGCAGGAGGTAAGCTGATACTGCGGGGAATACTTTAAAGAGGCTTGCTAGCGTCTTTTTACCGAAGGTCTACCTCGTCACGCCTCCAAAGCGAGTAGTCACCACAAAAACAACCGACGTTTACCAAAAGGTTGCCAAGTCTCCTTTTT